AAAAAAAATTTACTAGGATGCTTAACGTATTTAATGTTTATGAGCCAATCATACACGACATAGCCTCACTCATGACCGTTTCAGGACAATAAGAGAGAACTCTCTATGGCTCTAAATAAAAAATGAACAGTCTTTGGAAGCTGGGAGCAGCTCACACCACCGACCCTACTAAGAAATGGAGGAGACAAAGAAGGGGGACAAGGATGGTTCGGGATAGAGCATTTCACCGCGTAAATATAATAACGATGCGAAGATATAGACGAGACTCCACAAACAAAGAATCGCGATAATTTAAGGATAGATGGTGTGTGATATCGCAACCAAAAACATCAGTACTTATATACACTAAACGATCGAGGGACAATGATTAGAAAACGCGCTCTACGACTGCTTCTCGCTCCTGGCTAGCAAAATCCAGCACTGTTAGACTGAGTGATTCAGGTGAAACCATGAACGAGATGAAGAGCGAATTGAAAGGAGGAGGGACGAGGGCGAACAATAAGAAATGTACAAGAGGATGTGAGTCGCTGGACATGGAAGCCACGGCGACGGAGACATACGAACGATTCATCGGGAAATGACGAAATTAAAAAGGGCTTTAACAAGCGACACGAGGTGACGAGAAGGGCTTACGACAACTCGTGCCAACTCTGTGCGGAGCGGGGGAGGGGTCATCTTGAATCCAAACGTCGACAGAAGAGCTAGACCAGACACGAGGAGCATAGCCCGTGCTGCTTGAGGGGCATAAAGAGATTAAACACGAGTAAAAATATGATCTAGCTTTGCTCAGCCGCAGAGTCATGTCCGACATGACCCGTGCGATTGTCATCACCATCCATCTCTAAAGGAGGTAGTGGACGACCAGACGGAAGCTTCGTATCTGGCATTCGTAGTTCATCGAAAAACGCATGTAAACATGCCTAAAAAGAATTTTCAAAAAATTCTATAAAAGGAAAAATGATCTCGTAACGAGTGGAATGCACGTACTTGTTGAGGTGAAGGCCTTGCGCTTGGCGTGTATTCGATGATCGTCGAGATAAGATCGATGGCTTCTTGTGGTGTACTAGCACGAAACACCTGCAATTTGATTATATATCAGAGAGGCACGTGATTGGATAACTGATGAATCAACGAAAAAGAGAAGTATTTGCATGTTTGCTTCATCCCCTACTGAGCTCCCCGTAATAAGCAGGCAAAGATGATCAGCAATAGAATCAGAAATAAAAAAGTTTTGAATAAAGAAGACACACTTAAATCTCCTTCAAAACTTCAAAGAAATGAGGTTTTCGACGGATGCGCAAAGATAATATGAGTTCTGGAACATTGAGAAACTTGATGCACGGTAGGTGAGAACGATTAACAGCTTGAAAACGATTCAGAGGTAGATGCAATGAAACAACGTATAAGCTCCGAAAAGAGGACAAAGAACAAA